TATCACGCTTCTCTCCTTTTCAGACTGCACTATGAAATAAAATTGAAAAACAGTGTAGAGATCATACTTGGTACTGTGCATTCCATTTAGATACCTAGTAGATTGGTAACTGGACATTTGATAATTATCAACAAAAAATTAAAATAAGATAGTGAGTCAAAATTTTCTGTTTGTGGATATATATGCATGCATCAGTTGATAATACAGTTGTGATTAAATTACAATTTACATCTTATGGCCAATAGTTATTCCTTCCTTTTTTCCTTGCATACTGTTAAATAACTTCTTTCATTAAAATTTCAGGGGAATACACAGCCTCCTGACTACCTTACTGAAAGTGAGCTGATCTCACTAATGGAAAAAAATGGAATAGGTACAGATGCATCTATTCCTGTACATATCAACAACATATGTGAACGCAATTATGTGCAGGTCAGTAAAACTTGATGTTTTGTTTTTGTGGGTTTGTGCACTTGTTCTGTGGGCATGAAAAAATGCTTTTGATATTTTATGTTAGAGTATTCGTTTTATTTGAGATATACGTACTTTCGAAATAATCCTACCTTTATATAATAACTTCAGGTGCAAGCTGGAAGGAGATTGATTCCAACTGCTAACTGCTTTAGGAGTCAGTCTAGTAAGGGGCTATCAGTGTATAGATCCAGATCTCTGTTTGCCTGACATTCGAAGTTTCATTGAGCAGCAGATCACTCTTGTAGCTAAAGGTCAAGCAGACCATTCTTTAGTTGTGGAGCATGTAATAAAGCAATTTAAAAGGAAGTTCAGTTACTTTGTTAAGCAGGTGATGGAATAACAATGTCTTTTATTTCTTGTTTGGTTTAATGTAAAGCCTTTAACTCCTGTTATTTCTTTTCCAATATGCGTGGTAATTATATTTTCTTAAATCCATCCTCTGCGACTACGAATATTGCGGTTTTGAAAGGGGAAAGGTTGATAATGAATGAAAAATGTGTTCTCTCTCCCCCAAGCTCTTGCGTCTGGAACCATGTTTCACTACGCTTTTGTTGTCTTTCTGTATGTTTAAAAGTACAAAGCTTGTGATCAATTGTCTATAAGTTTTAGAAGTATATGATAATTATACTTTTTTGCGTCTATAATATGATTGATTGCCTATTTGTGATTAAGCTTGTTTGCTTTATCCCTGATAAACTTGATGACTGTGCCTGGTGTAGATTGAAAACATGGATGCATTATTTGAAGCAGAATTTTCTCCACTCTCTGATTCTGGAAGATTGCTTAGTAAATGTGGCAAATGTTTGCGGTACATGAGGTACATATCTACCCAGCCATCACGGCTATACTGTGGAACGTGTGAGGAAATTTATTACATTCCTCAGAAGGGTACGATCAAGGTAAACTATATATCACTGTCAGTTATGTTTCTCAAATTGAAATAATCAGTGCCTGATGATCCTATTTCTAGATCTAAGTTGTTCCTTTTGGCAGTTATAATAATAGCATGCCTAATCAATCATACTTCTGCTGTCTTGAAAAATATATTATCATCTCTTGAATTTGCACCAAATAATATTTTTGACAATTACCTCCTATAAGTAAAAACTAATTATTGCTCCATTAATTTTATGCAAGCATCTTTTCTTCTTGCAGCTATATAAGGAACTTACTTGCCCTCTCGATAACTTTGAGCTATTGATCTTTTCAATGCCTGGCCCGGAGGGTAAATCCTTCCCTCTCTGCCCTTATTGTTACAACTCTCCTCCATTTGAAGGCATCGAGACTTTATTTGGTGCCGCTAAAACTGGTAGCACCGTCGAGCCGGGAAAGGGAGCTGGCATGCCATGTTTCCTCTGCCCACATCCGACTTGCCAGCATTCTATGATATCACAAGGTGTTTGTGCTTGCCCGGAGTGTAATGGTACCCTGGAGCTTGACCCAGTAAGTGCTCCCAAATGGAGGCTGTACTGCAATATGTGCAACTGCCTTGTTTTCCTTCCGGAAGGTGCTCATCGAATATCTACAACTCGGGATCATTGTCCAGAATGCGACTCGACTATAATAGAAGTGGACTTCAATAAGAAAACTACACCGTTGAAGGATGGAGGTACCCTGCATGTTGGATGCGTTCTTTGTGACGAATTATTGCATTCACTTGTGGTGATGAAGCACGGAAAGTCATTCTCTAGACACAGAGGGCGGGGTCGGGGAAGAGGGAGAGGAAGAAGAGGTGGGAGAGGACGGGGCAGTAGGAAACAAGAGGACCCAAAAATGAGCTTCCATGGTTTCTGATTGAGGTAAAATATTTACTTTTACACAACTTAGTCAAGGTTTTTGAAGAGAAAATGGACTGTTTATTTAGAGTTGAAAGTTCATTCTGCTATAGTAAAAAAAGAAAAGAAGAAGAAGAATTAGGCTGTTAAAATTCTTTATGAAATTTTTAGTTTTAAAAATTTGAATTCTACCCCTGTTCTGTGTTACATTACTAATGAGGACAGATGTCAGGATTTTTATTTTTTTTACTTTTAGGTTGATGAAAACTTGCAAGGGCTAATGTTATATAACGTTTGTTTGATAGATTTTTTGAGAATTGATTTTATGAGATGTAATTTTTTTTTTTTTTTTTTTGGGAGAATGTATAGTTAAAACGTAAGAAAAAGTCTTGGGTTCGAGTATAAAATTATTTATGTAATGCTATTAGTATTTTGTGTTCATATTGGTGTATAGATAAATGACATGGAAGAGAAATATTACGATAATCGAATTTCTTTTCTTTTAGTCTCTTTCTTCCTCTCTTTTTTTCATGTCATTTATCTGTACACAATGATGTACAAATAGCATTACTCATTATATTATTGGAAAATTCAAAATTGTGTGGTTAAAAATAAAAGTGGAAAAAATAAGTTTTAAAGAATATATACCAAATCGGAACTTGTTCTATTTGCTCAAAAGTTGAGCTACATGCTTTTTAGTTGATGGAAGAAGCACCCTGTCTTTACATTCAAGCTCTAATCTCTTGGTTATCTTCGAAATCTTGCCCACGACAATACTTTCGAGTAGTTGGGCCCGCAAATTATTGACCAATCAATGCATTTTAAATAGTAGATTGATAGAGAATGTGTAGTTAAAAATTAAGAAAAAATTTTGAATTGTCATCATGTCATGTAATATTATTTTATTGAAAAATGTATGATTGAAAATGAATTTTTAAAAGAATGGAACTCAAAGAAGGGCTTAATTACTTAAACTATAAGGCTTAGAAATGATTTAATTGTAAGATACTTTTAAGTTTTTCACGGAGAAAAGTAATAACCATTAGAAGGAAAAGATAATATTTCGTAATATAAACAATAATATCCAGACAAGACGCATGGTATACCGTTAATCAGTAAAATACATTATCCAATATAATTCATTATGATTTCTTGTATATTCCTAATTCTATGATAATGATAACTCGAATCTTAAAGATTGCTCCAAATCAATAGTTGGTTTGACAAAAAAAATTTTAAGCAAACTTTTGATAAAAATTAATGAAATATATTATTGAAAAGTTAATAAAAATTATGAATTTCAATAAATATGTGCATAAAATTGACTGTTTACTCTAACTTTTAACTTTTTAAGAACAAGCACTGAATAATTTGAAGCAAAAACAAATGGAATAATAAATTTAAAATTGATGGTGAGTTCTCACACTAGCTCACTCTATTATTATTTACAAAGTTTAGCACGACAGATCTAGAAGAAACTAGAGTGCCTTAGCTCTTGTTTGAGCCATGTTATTGGAATGAAAATGCATTTTTAAATAGTATATTGATGAAAAATGTGTGAATGAAAAATAAGGAAAAATTTCGAATTTACGTGTAATATTATTTTATTTAAAAATGTGTAATTAAAATAATGTGTGTAATTAAAATAATGTCAAATCACTGTTGAAAAATGTATTTTGTTCAAATAATGTGGCTCAAACATAGCATTTCTATCAATCTACCACAACCTTTTGATTTGAATTTGTAAGTTAAAAACATAGTGAGTTTTAGAGGACTACCAACAATGCCTTATGTTTGGCCAAATGTTCGTAAATATTTTAGTCAAATAACTTTTATCTATACATTTCGTAGAACTTATTACCAACTCCATCATTCATTTTATCCTTATTTATAAGAAAAATGCTATATATAGAGGATTTCTCACGGATTTTCTACGTGTGATATTGTGGCAGAGTTTGTGTGGTTCATTTTTTCCTATTATTTTGCCATTTTTCACCCAGAAATTGTCAAGTATCCTTTCCGTATGAATTCTGTGAGCCAGACTTGTAAGTGTAGCAAGGTTTTATTTATCACTTAAGCCATTTGTACAGAAATTTTTTCACAGAATTTCATCAAATTACTCTCATGTGTAGAACCCACCGTGAATAAAAAATTGCCAAAAAAACCCCCACCCACCCCCCTTATGTGTGTGTTTTGACAGGCTTCTGTTTGAAACCTGCTTGTACGAACAGCAAGTTTATTTATTTATAAACACGTTGTCAGACCCGTCAAATTTAGCCAAGGTAGTTTTAAGCATTCTTTAATAGTAAAGACCCACTCAACAAACTTCAAAATGAAAGTGACTAATCCCAACTTTTTTCAGGCATCCAACATATGCAAGCTATTTGAGTGGAGCATAAATGTTGTAATTTGGTCCATTAAAATACTTATAGAGGCCCTACCATGTCACTACCAAAAATCTTAGCTAATCCAGTAAAATAATCTAAAATTCAGCCTTAATAATGAATGCCAAAGAGAATCTTTATTTGAAAAACTAATAATATTAATATATGCCCCCCAAAATAACCATCAACTAGGCCATTCTAAACAGTGTTAAATAAAAAGAAGCTAAAATCTTGTCCATTGAACATGCACTTGAAGAAAGAAATTCAAACGCTAATCAATTTCTAGCATTCAAGCCAAAGTCCAAAAGAATTTGATAAAGGGATTCATGTAATCGATCTCAAATTTAGCAAACGATCAAAACCCATAAAGCATACCACCCAGGATGGAGCTCATGCAAAACCAATCCTTATTTGCACATATGATACACAAACCAATTTAGTCACATGATATGGGTCATATGTCATACTTTGCCTACATTGTACAAGACAAAGCATCACACTTTATACTGTGCCCTTCTCCACCTTAGATGATAATGAATCCACTACAGGAGTTTATGTCTAAAAAGACAAATACAATGGAAGGCTGAAAAGACCCCAAAATATAAATATAACAAAGACAAGAACGCTACTAATAAGATCATAAACCACCATTTTCATTGCTGGTGGTGGCATCGGTGGCAGCGGCGTTGAGGGCAGTTTCAGTACTGGTCTTGATTTGGTTATGCTTTTGAGAAGAGCCTTTGCAAAGGCTGATGGGGTATTTTATTGCATTGAGTTCAATCTTTCTAAGTGCAGCTTTACTAAGATCAATGCCACAAATGTCTGATAGCCTAACAAGGTAAAGAAGAACATCTGATAATTCTTCACCCAAGTGTAATTTTTCTTGTTCTTCCCAATCAGGTAAGCCTATTGGGACCTCACCTTTCCACTGAAAGATCTCAGACAATTCTCCCACTTCACCCACCTGAGACACAAATGGATTATTGGAATAAGCATTAACATGAAAAGACACAAAAGAACGGTACAGGCAGCTAGTGGATAAAGTTAAAGTTGGTTCTTTTTAAGGTGTAATGGCAACTTTATCATGCCTGTGTTGACGTTGCTGCTTGAGACAGTACTCTGACTGCAAAGTGCTATAATGATCTAATGGAAAAGTTAAGAAATGGCACAACAATCAAGACTACTCAGTTTGGACACAAAAAAGCTTTAGAGAAATGATTTCTCTTGTTTCCAAAAGTCATCAGTCAACATTCCTTATAAAATTTGACCCAAAAAAATAAATTTTCATTCCTCAAAACAAATAGACAAAAAGAATCAAGAAATGATTTTTTTTTAACACATTTTGCTGTTACTGCATCTATTATTTTTCACATCCATTTTGCGAGCTCAAAGTTCATAGAAAGAGAACAATTTACACACAAAAAGAAGAAAGAAAACCCAAATTTTCTGGCAATTTTTATGTTCAATGTGCAGAATAAAAGGAGAAAATTTGACACAAAAGAAAGATTAAAAAAACCCACATTTTCGGTGAGAGATCAAAGGTTAAAAATAACTTGAAAATCATAAGACAGACTCCTACAGATTCTATGTGCATGGTAATAAGAGAGAACAACACAACAATGGCTGTGTGTTTACATATATAGCAAGTCTGAAACTTTGGGGTTTATGAAATTCAAAGAATTCAACCACTAAATTCATTTTGTACAAGACTAAAACCAAAACTAGATATAAATATACATACATTTATGGAAGCGAAAGAAGAACACACAACACATACACACAGACAAACTCAATAAGATCAACGATTTACGTAAATAGAGATTTTTATTTGCATATATGAAATCAAAATGGTACAAACCAGTGCCAAAAGCAGATTTCTGGGGCTATGGAACTGATCCCAGTCTCTTTCCTTTGCAAAAAGTGCCATTTTTTCCTTGAGCTCTTCAAGGGTCAGTCCTTCACCTAATGCTCCCTTCATTCCTTCTCTGTTTACTGATGCCCCCACCGCCACCGCTGCCGTTTGGGTGTTGCTCATTAAGCCGGCCGTGAGCTTCTACAAGAGAGAGAGGGTAGGGAGCGTATATAACGCCTAGGAAGCTGATATGCATATAAGCTAATGTCAAATCAGCCCTAAAGGTTTACACCTTGTTTGGGTTTTATTTAGTTTGATAATACATTTCTCTCTTTTTTCGGAGGGTATTTGATACACATTTTTAAGGAAAAATGAATTTTAAAATACTAGATTGATAAAATATGTGTAGATAAAGAATAAAAATAAGTTTTTTATTTATATTTAATATTATTTTAATAAAAAATGCATAGTTAAAAAGAAGAGAGTGAAAAATATATTTTGATAAAAATGAGAATTAAATGGGCCTGAATCACATTTTTCAACACAATAATATTACACGTAAATTTAAAATTTTTTCTTATTTTTTAATAATACATTCTTCAAAAAATAAATATTACAAAATAGATTTTTCTCAAAAATCTAATTATAATGAAACTCAAACAACGGGCATAATATGAATTTCTACTCCTCACAATCAATTTGACCATTTTTGCAAAAATAAAAAATAAATAAAAATAAAAAAGTTGTATTTTTGTCTTTTGACAACGCAAAATAGACACTTTTTGCTAACTTTTTACGAAGTTGACCGATTTCTTAACACCATCTTAAACTTGGCTACAATTCAATTTACCCCTTGCTTAAAGTAATATGTCATATATATATATATAAGCACATTAGAAACATTTAAATCGTTTCCAAAACTAATTGATAGGGGACTCCGTCAAGAGGATGTGACACACACACACACAAACACTTATATATTGTCGAGTTCCATTAGAAAAACTAAAATTTATATTTTATAGGCACATATAATTATGATTTTGTTATTTTTCTTTGCAGAAATAAAGGATACGTGATAAAAATCTATAGAACACATTGAAAATCAAATTTGAACTAGAGTGCCTACTCATTAAAACCAATTTCATGGAGATTGAAAGCCTTTTGAAATATTTTGCATTAGAGGTATTTTTTTATATTATCTCACGTTTTGCTTACATGACAAAATTTTTAAAGCTATTTATAGTTGCATTGGAGTACTCTTACGAGAAAGATGATAGGATGAGTTCTCTTTTCTCTTCATATTTTTTTTTTCACTTTTTTTGTCCTTTTTCTTGGGATATATTTAACTAGAAATAAGGGCATTTTAGTCTTTTAACAAAACTTTGACATTTTTAACCATCAATTGTATGAAAACTGTCCATAAGGACCTATTCCGTTCATTAATTGAAAGTTTGGAATGTTTGTTCCAAGATTTAAACTTTAAGGATCATTTACAAAGCAACTTTATAGGATGGGGACCATTTGTGCTAATTCTCCACATTTGTTGATTAAAATGAGATTTTTAAATACTGAATAAGATCTGAACAACTTTGGAATAAGTTTAATAACGATAAAATATCTAAACTCTGTCAATTTTTAGATCATTCTTAGGGAGGAAAATAGCCATTTTTATAGATATGAAGCTCTCGCGCCGAACCTACCAAATGGCTTCAAGCCATAGTACTCGATATATAACTTTCACGTGGCAAGTTTGCCTGATTAGTGGAGGGGGGCGTCCAAGTATTTTGTACACATGTTATTGAGATTGTGTGACTATTAGATTGTGTAAGTTTGGAGTACTGGCTTCGCACCCTTGTAACTCTATGAGGTGAATGACAATTCATATACATTTTTTTTCATGTTTTATCTCAGTTGTAAAATGCTTATTTTTAATTACACATTCGATCAATAAAATAATTGTACGTAAATTCAAAATTTTCTCTACTTTTTAATCACACATTCTCCAAAAAATCACAATTATAAAATTCATTTTTTGTGGATAAAAACGAGATCAAACAAAAGGCTTAGTAATTTATTCGTAAAATCTATTTGACTGTATTTGCTAGTAATAACTCACATGTATTGATGGATTGATGGAGGTAATATCCTTTAATATATACTCTTTGTTTCTATATTTTGTCTAAATTAATTAAACAATTCATTTTTCTTATACGAGAAATTTGTAATTTCATCCTTCATCTTTTACAAAATGTAATAAATATATCCTCAATTTTTATTTTTTTTTATTTGTAGCAAAACTCTTCTAAAATTTCCAAACTTTTTACTAGCATTTTGATAATTAAATAAATTAGATCACGTTATTGTCGACATTAACAAAGAAGAGAAAAAGAAATCAATACATTATCTTTAAGAAAAATAAGTCAACTCTTATAGAATTTTTGAAGTCAAATTCGTATTTCTTACGTATTCCCTTAGGTTAATCCTCCCAAATTATAGTCCAAACAAAGAAAGTTAAAGACTGAAGCACAAGTTTGGTTTAGATAAATAATAAAATTTTAATAAATTTTGATATAAAAAAAAAAATACTAACCCTTATTCAGTGGCCTTAAAATTTTTAAAGCATCGTTTTGAATAGTATTTTTTGAAGGACGTGTAGTTAAAAAGTAAAGAAAATTTTGACTTTACTTATAGAATATTTTATTAGATGAATGTATTATAAAAAATGAGTATAAGAAATAAATTAAAGTAAAGTGATGAAATCAAACAGGGCTTAATAAGTGTGTGATTTTAACTTTTACTAAAATTTTAATCTAATTTTTTTAGTTGAACCAATATATAATTTATAATTTATTAAATATAACATCGAGTGGAAATCATTTTTGGAATAAGAATCCTAATGAACCTAAAAAATGATAAGGGCCCAGCATGACGATTTGACCTCAATTACAATTCAATTATTTTAATAATACTTTACTTTTCGTTTTTAATATTTAATAAATACTACAAAATTCTTATCATGTATGAACTTCGTGTTATTAATTCTCAGTAAATTAACATTTATCGAAATTTAATGAATCTTGACATGCATAAATCTGGAGTTATTATAGATAATTAAATTTATTTGTATTCATGTATGTAGAAATGTTATAATATGTGTTTAAATTCATGTAGTAGCAATTAATTCTTATGTACTAATGTAGTATAAAAATTTTGCTCATTTGTAGTAATTTATCATTGCAAAAAAATTAAATCATAGAAGTTGAATTTTGAGAGCACAATTTTTCTTCTCTTGAATTTATATTCTAGATTTTATTTTCTTTAATTTGTTTAGTCTCACCAAATCTTATCAAAATATTACTTTTACAACATTTATAAAGTAAATTAGAATAATATGCAGTATACGTTCAATTTTAACTAATATAAACCAAAAGTTGTAAAATATCTTCAAAAAATTAAGCACTTCTAATAATAAATTTATATGCATCGAGCTAAATGATTTAAATTAAGCGTTCTTATTTTTGGATATCAAAATAAAAAAAATCTTCTAGAAATTGAAATTCTAGCCATAATTCATAAGACTATCTAAGATTTACACTTTCAATTTATGTGAACTTTAACCTATTTTTATTTTCTTAAGAAAATATGGGCATTCTACTGAAAGAAGGAGTATTGATGGAAAATAAAGTCTCCAAAAGTGAATTATTTCTTTTTATTATTAGAAGAATGAAATCTTCATAATGAAAAACTTCCACAATTTCCACAATGAAAGATAAGAAAAATCTCACCATCCAATATAATAATTTTTCCAGTTTCATAGTCAACCATGATATGAACACCACTCCCTTGAGATGAAATCCCAAACGACATTTAATAATTTAACACATCAAGTCATAATTTTTTTTGGATGATTTTAACTTACCACAATTCAATAATTTTGAAATAACGTCACGTTCAACTTTGACAAGTGAAATGAAAGATGCTTTGGATCAATGGCCAGCAGTTTTCTTTATAAAACAAGAGGAATACTCATCATTTTTACCTGTAATTCCATTTCTTCCTTTACCTGACAAACCCTTCGGATTCCAGAATAATGGCAGCAGAAAGCAGTGTAAAAGTGCCCAGAATCAAGCTGGGTTCACAGGGACTGGAAGTGTCTGCACAAGGACTAGGATGCATGAGCATGTCTGCATTCTACGGCCCGCCCAAGCCGGAAAGCGACATGATCAAGCTCATTCACCATGCCATTAACTCTGGCATCACTTTTCTTGATACCTCCGACGTCTACGGACCGTACACCAATGAAATCCTCCTCGGGAAGGTACTATCTCTTCCTCTGTATCATTTCTGCAATTTTTGAGCATGATGCGTTTATCATTTTCGACTAAATGCCGCAACAAGGATTTTATAATACTGTAGCATGAAGCTCCGATTGAAGCAGGTTAACATTGAATTAATAAATTAGTTTCAAACTAATTTTGAAATTGCTTGAGATGGTAAGTCTTTTATGTACTTCCTGGAGACAGTTCTTGAACCTTACTCTAGCTTGTTTATTTATTGTTCTGCACTTCTTATAGTCGCCAGTCTGTAATAATCAATTTTAATGTTTAAGTACTGTTTGCTATCAAATTGAATAGGCTTTGAAGGATGGGATGAGGGAGAAAGTGGAGTTCGCTACGAAATTTGGGATTACCTTTCAGGATAGCCAGATGATTGTACAAGGAGACCCTGCTTATGTACGAGCTACCTGCGAGGCCAGCTTGAAGCGGCTTGATATTGATTGCATTGATCTTTATTACCAACATCGCGTTGACACACATGTACCTATTGAAGTCACGGTTAGCTCTTATTCTCCTTCGCATTTATTTATCTCCTGGATCCTTAATATACCGAAAAAATTGTGATTATTATTGATATCAAACCAATAGAAAATTCATGCAAGTTAGATCTTCTAATCCACAATTTGGCCAAATAAAGAACTTCAATTTTGTTAATTGATTTCTTGATCAACTTCAGAATCCAATTTCAGAAAAAGATTGCTGTTCTGTAAGTTTTTGAGTTTGACTCAATTACTATAAATCCTCATGTCCTTATTCTCTTCTACTTTTTCGGTTACAAAAAGCCTTAACTTGCTTTTATTTGTTTCTAAATGCTATGAAGGTTTGATGAAAGATCGCATCAAGCTCATCTTTTCGTACTTCCTTGAAAATTGATAATCTGTATATTGTAAATTTGAGTATTAGCTCTTATTTGATTCCACATGTTTCTTACTTTAGTGCCTTCTTCTTCCTTTGGATATCTCTTTATGCAAGATTGGAGAACTAAAGAAACTAGTGGAAGAAGGTAAGGTAAAATATATAGGCCTATCGGAGGCCTCGGCTTCAACAATCAGAAGAGCACATGCTGTTCATCCAATAACAGCAGTGCAGTTGGAGTGGTCTTTGTGGTCAAGAGATGTGGAGAAAGAAATAATTCCTACTTGCAGGTTTGATGATTATTGTGATCATTTTTCTTTTTTTGAGCCAGTAAGGTATATAAATTTCTAACTCTTTCTTTGGTTCAATTGTTAGAGAACTTGGCATTGGAATAGTAGCATATAGTCCTCTTGGACGGGGATTCTTGTCATCCGGTCCAAAAATGGTTGAAACTTTATCTGAAGACGACGCTCGAAAGGTTTGTTTGCTTTATACTTCGAATCATCCAGAGTTTCAATTTCAACTATGAATATAATGTGAATCTGTTGTGCAGACCATCAACATTTTTTATTTATATATGATACAAATATAGCTAAGATTCTTTGGAATTAAAAAATCTAGTTATGTAGCTGCGGATGCATAATATTAAGTAATTTTTGCTACCGTATTTAGAAGCCAATTCATCCCAGTCCCAAAACGTATTTGTTTTTGGATACAATCTACAGCAGTAACTATAGTGTATAAGCTAAACATCTTTTTGGTAGGTGTGGTTATAATTTTGACGTTGAAAGATGTGCTTTACGTCTTTTGCAGTATCTTCCAAGATTCCAACCCGAGAATCTGGAGCATAATAAGAGATTGTTCGAGAGAGTGAATGATATGGCAATTAGAAAGGGGTGCACGCCTTCACAGCTAGCTTTAGCATGGGTTCATCATCAAGGAACCGATGTGTGTCCCATACCTGGTACCACAAAAATCGAGAATCTCAATAAAAACATAGAAGCGTTGTCTATAAAACTGACGAAAGAAGACATGGCTGAACTCGAATCTATCGCTTCAGCTGATGCCGTCAAAGGTGATAGATATACTCCTGGTTTTGGTACGTGGGAGCATTCAGACACTCCTCCTTTGTCAACTTGGAAAGCTGTGTGAAACCACTTAATCTGTATGCTAAAATTACCTTACTGGAATGGAGAGAAGATTGAAATAAAATTGGCATTACAACGTACTGAGCAAGCAGTTTCCATTAAATGGCGATCTTTTATAACTGTATTGTGATTTGGTTTTCAAACTACAGTCATCTGGATTGCAGATTAAAAGTGTCGTACTTTCTTCGCAAGTGTTGAACCTACAGTTGGCAAGTACTATGGCATTTATGTTTACGCATGTGTGTGCGTGTTTACATTGATCCTTGGAATGCTGTCAACATAATTTCTATTTGTTGAGAAGGTAAAACATTTATGGAAAAAGCTCCCTGCACAGGGCCTGTACAAGGGTTGTCACATGGGAGTGGACCATGCAGGTAGCACATTTGAATATTTATACTACGAGCCTTCTGACTAACTATTCTTGAACCTTAGAGAGTAGGGACAAGGTCACCATAAATATGATGGAAGAGGACCGGCTTTTGACTTCTTGGATAATTTTGTTCATTTTTATTGCCTTTCAATTCTTGTAGGCGCCCATGTTTTCGCCACGTTTGGTATCCATTTTTTTCAAAATGCATTTTTCTCTCTTTTTTTTTCAACCACATATTCTTTATTAAAATAATATTACACGTAAATAAAAAAAATTTCCTTATTTTTCAATCACATATTTTCCATCAATTTACTATTGAAAAATACATTTTTACATAAAAATGTATTCCAAACACCCTCTTTAATGTTCTTATGTTTGCTTTCAAATGTGGGCTTTCAAGGATGAGATTTCATAGTCTAACATAGTAAATTGAACATGTCTCGATAGCCCCAATTTGGCCCTCATTATTTCAATTTATAATTTTTGAAATAGTGTGTGTATATATATATATATATATAGAAGATTGTGTGATAGAAAATAAGAGAGAAAATTATAATTTGAAATAATGGAGGACAAATGAGAGCTTAGTTTTATTGTAAAATTATTTGTGGTTACATATTGTACCCATCTAAATAGTACTCACTTGGATTGCATGTGCATGTCTAACTAGAGAAATTTTGATCGGACAATCCTATTGCTCATGATAAGTGTATTTTATACACCTACTTTGAGCATAAAATAGGGTAATTACTGGTTCTTTTGACAAAATATATCTTAAATTGTTGTGTTTTATGTTAAACAGGTAAAGTTCAATGATTGAACAAAGAATTGGAAGAAACAAAAAGAAAACCCAGAAAAAGTGTGAAATCCAAAAGACAGGGACCAAGTTGCAAATGATCCATAGATGAGACGAACAATGAAATGGAGATTGAAGATGCCAAGGCTTTAATGGTATACAATTGAAGATAAAGGAATAAAATTACAAGAAAAAGTGGGTTAAATAAAGCAAAATTAAAGTTTGAGGATTAAAGTGCAGATATTAAAAAGTTTGGTTGAACCTTACGATGAAGATTCGAGAGTGTTAGGAGTCAATCGGACATGTAATATTATTTTTTAAAAAATTGTGTGATTGAAAATAAGAGAGAGAGAGAGAGAGAGAGAGAAAAATATAATTTGAAATAATAGGGGGCCAAATGGGAGCTTAATCCATTGTAAATATGCTATCGAATAGCATTAAGTATCCAGTAAAATAACATCAAATTCCTGTTGTAGCACCGTGTGCGACATCTCAACAAGGATTTGTGGGGTGGGCAACACGTAAAGTCAGTCCAAAGTGGCTACAAACAAGAGTGATGTGACTTAAAAAATGAATGAATCCAATTGATTGACTTGCTATTTGTTGGGCAGGGTCATTGGCTAAGAGCTAAAACATTGGCCCGCCCCGCCCCTCCTCTTCCAACGCCCCCAAAAAAATAAAATGATTCAAGTATCCATGGTTTCGATTTGAAACAAAGAACCGTATGGGACTCGATCGATTCTCGTTTTCTAATATTTTTGGAATCAAACTCGAACCGAATTGGGATGTTCAGTTTCGAATAAAATGGCCAACCTAATTTGCACCAATTCCCCATATTTTATTGAGTAAAAGGAGGGTTTTACAATATTCGGCGAGATTAGAATAAATTGGCATGACCTGAGCAATCCGAAATATCTGAACTCTCTCAATCTTCGAATCTTCCTTGGGAAGAAAATGACCCCTTCTATATATGAGGAAAGCTCCCCTTCAAATCCCCTCATTCACTTCAAACTACAACACTCTTCCTTGAGATGTGTGATTTTCAGGCAATGAGGTTGCCGTGATCAGTGGAGGAGGGTGGTGGTTACGCAAGTTGGGAGAGGAGCCACTTAAGTGCAATCATTAATTATCCCTTTCTTTTATTCCGTTATCTTTCCCTTTTTACAAGTATTTTTATCGACGGTTATTAACATTGTGCGACTATAATGCTTTGTGAGTATTTTTATCGACGGTTATTAACATTGTGCGACTATAGTCGCCCCCTTGTAACTCTTCGAGGTGGATGCCAACTTGTATATGTCTTGCGCCATGTTTTATCCAATGTGTAAATTGCCTCTTTTGCATATAACAATATTTATCGTCGAGTTTTCGAAGTAATTTAACTTTGGAATTTTATTTTTAAAATCGTTTCGACTTTGATATTATTCGCCAAATATAACTAACGTATATTGAAGGATTGATTTGCTTGCTATGGAGCTAGTCTCCTTTAATGTATATTCTTTTGCGTCTCTTCTCTTTATTTTGCTTTATAGAATTTTAAATAAACTATTCATCTTTCTCATATCTATCTCACGACGCTAATAGATTATACAGAAGATTTTAATCACTATTATGATAGTGAAATAAAAAGAATCTGATCCCTCATAAAAATGGGTATAGTTTATTATTTCATAAAAAATCAAAAATGGAAAAAAAAAAAAAAAAAAAAAAAACTTAGCGCTTGTTTGGTTTGGATTAAATTTTGATTTTAATCTAAATTTAAGTCAAAATCAAACAATTAATATTAACATAATCTTTCATGTATCCTACAAATTTTCAACCACACATTTCAAAAACAAAAAAGTCACAAGGCCAAGTTAAAATAGCCCCTTCACATGGCGCCCCTATTTTTTGGCCTAGTTACTTGGCCAAAAAGTAGGGTTGTTTCAAAAATTTCTATCAAAATTTATTAAAAAATCTAATTTTAATCCTTGTCAGACATCATCTAACGGGGGTGTCCCCATTTCAGAGTTTAATAGATTTCTTAATATTTATAAATTCTCATGGATTGTGTGAAATTTCATAGAATTTAATAGATTTCATAAGATTTGAATGGATTTCTATTTTGTAGATTTTAAAAGATTTTCATGGATTTTATAGATTTCAATAGATTTTATAGATTCTGGGTAAAATTTATAAATATGCTTAACATAAGCCACAAATTTTTACTTCTTCTTTAACGACTCATTCTTACACATATGCACGTTAATAAATCACAGAAAATGATCGAATCCTTGTTTAATTGTTTGTTAAACATTGAGTATTATAATAGAGCTTCAATAAAAAAAAATACACCCACTATTCAACAAAATGCGAGAGTGGGAGAGGACAAAAATATGTAGTGTTAAATAATCAAAGTCGTAATCAATATGAATTAGTTCAAAAGGCCACAACCTTGTGAGATACAAACACACAGATGTATACATACATGACCGCAAGGCAATTAATTACATACCTCCAGAATTCTCATTGACCATGCAGACATAAAAGAAAAAATTGTGGGATACCATCCTCACATGTCATGGCTAGGATTTGCAGGTATATATAGAAAAACACACAGCTCTTCCCAAGAAAAAGGAATATAGTACAGAACTTGAAAAACGAAGTTGTTCCAGATGCATACTAGAAATCGTAAATTACCATGATAATTTCCAACACATTTATAAAATAGTAAGCAATATATAGCTTCAATAAGAAAAAATAAGTTCAATAAAAAATCACATCCAATATTCAACAAAAAATAGTAATCCTTCATAAATTATCATCAATTGAAAAGTTCTCATACACTATCTTTTCATAGTAGAGAAATGTGAGATAGAAAGAAGAAGAAAATATTGTTCAAGAATGGGGGTGGGGGTGGGGGGGAAGAGAGAGAGAGAGAGAGAGAGAGGGCAGCAAATATGGAGAGATGTGAGAAATGTTGTGAAATTTTTAGGTTTGGGTTAAAATTGTTACTGATTTTTTGTACTTATATTTTTACCTTGAAATCCTTCAAAATCTATCAAAATCTATATACTTAATGAAATCTTTTAAAATCGACTAGTTATTGAGGATATCTAAATTTCAAAACTACCTATTAAAATCTATGTTGAGTACACCTAAATTTATAAGTATTTTTAAAAATCTAGATTGGGGACACCTATATTTTAATGAATTATATTTAAATCTGAATTGAGGGTACTTCAATTTATATGGAGTTTTAAAATCCATCAAACTCTAGATTGAGGACACCCTCCTAAATAAATTTGTACTCATTCTTCTAGATCTGTATGACACATCATCATTATAAATAACTAGCATCAATGGACCACTTGACTACTTATGTTTCAAGGAAAAATTGCTGTAACGGTCCCTAACTTTTTCATTTTTTACAGACTTTAGTCTAACCTTCAATGTGTCCTAGTGAAGGTTCCTAACTTTTCATAGATATGCACCTGAGGTCGACTTGGATGGAAAGTTTCTGAAACACCATCAATTGACTTGAAAAATTAAGGAATCAACAGCCAATAAAACTGTCCAACACACCGTCCAAAAAGATAGTTTTTGGGTCAACTGAAAGTGTTTTGGACGGTTTCCATCGAAAAGGACCTCGGGTGTATATCACTAGCACAAAATGAAGGTTTGGATAAAGTCTGCAAAAATAAAAAAAATTAGGGACCATTTCTACAATTTTCCCTTGTTTCAAAGACTATAGCAACAAATTGACTAATACAGAGACGAAAGCTGCCAAACTAAGATGGCGACTGAAGCATCTCCTCGACCATGATTTCAATCTCTTACATGCCATGCTATCAAAGGACCTAAATAGTCTAGTCACCGAACGCACTAACTCATGTTTGATTTTTAACTAAAATCAGATTTTTAATTTGATTTCAATCTCATGTGTGATTAAGCCCCCCTATTATTTTTTATTACATTAAATTAAATTTTTCTCTCCTACTTTTAATCACATAATTTTCAATATAATAATATTATACATAAATCAAAAACTTTTTAACCACTTATTTTAAAAAAAAAAAAATATTATTCAT